TGAACAATGTGTGCCAGAGACGATTTTGTACGTCTGAGGGGCAAATTTTTCTAAGTCGGAGTCACGCTTGGCGGGGAAGGTTGTGACCCCGCTATGTGACTATCCGTTGTCACCAGTCCGTTCGCAAGCTCACGCCTTCCATCACTCCGAAACCAAAAAAGGAAGGCGTGTGCATTGCGTACAGGACTGGTCGCGAGTCTAGTCGCGGGTGTCATCGCCGACGACGATTGGGCAAACACATACAAATGAAATTCTCATTTGCGTCCACCTTTCTGGCCCAGCACCTCATCAGTACGCTCGGCGAAGAAAATGGCTCTCTTGAAAGAAATAAACGACCTTCGCTTGATTCGGGAAGCGAGTGAGCTCCTGTCCGGCCTGTCATGCCTCGCGAACCAGGGAAAAGAACGAGGTTTTAAAAGCTGCAGAAGTTTATATATGGATATGACAGGCTTCCATGGCTCGGTAGCCATCTATCGCGATTACTACGACAAGGAGGGCTATCTGAAGCGAAAAGATGAATCTTTGGCCCAATCATAGCGACAAATCAGGTGGGCTGCAGGATATCGAGTCGAACAACGCGCTAATTCTCAATATATCTTTAGAATGTATGGAAGACGTGTGCGGCATGAAACAAGCGCACCCCACCGAGATGCGCCAGGCGTAAAATGATATTCTAGTACGTTTAGGCCTATCAACAGATGCGATTACCCTCGCCTATATTGACGTCTGTGGTCCTCTACAGCTGCTCCAAAACATGCCAACAGTCGCAGTAGCCAGGACATAAGGAGATTTGCCCTTACGTGGGACAATCCTCACACCAAGTTCCTCACACCAATGCGGTCCGCATCCTCTGAGGGCGAACTGCTCGAGTTTGTGGAGTACGAAATTCAGTTTCGCAATAGCAAGATTAATTGCCCATACGCCAGCGTGGAAGCTCTCCTAATCGCGTGGTTGCCGCACATGCGACACGAAATTGTAGGCAACGTCTTATTTCGCATAGGTTATAGGCGCACGAGTGGTGAAGTTTTCATCGCCCCAGCTGAATGAATGTACGAAGTTCAAGATCATTGCTGTTTATATAGTAAGTACGTCTAACGCTTATCTCACTAGTTTTTAGGGTCATGCTGGTACACCCCCAAGCGACCGCGATAGAGAAGCTGGCCCGTTCCACTACTCAACACACGGTCGGAAAGATAGAGGTCATGTAGTTTTTCTGTCACCCTCGCTCCGTATCGGAAGCCCCTCTTGATAAAATTTCCTCCCTTCCGAGAGAGTTCCGAGTGGCTAGTCTGTGCGTCACTGCGAACATTCCCGTTCTACGACATGATCCGGAGCTACAAAGGGAGTTCGACGTCAAAAGGAAGCGACGTGGCCGTTGCATCGTACGTCTGGTAATGTACCCCTTAAAAAGTGCGACCCTTGTACATACATTCGACTCCGTCATAAGCCAAGGCCTGGTGTCTCCACCGACGTGTATGGGGTTAAGATGGAGTGGACCTAACCATGAGGTGCGTTCCGTTGCTGCTCATATGGCCTGGGATCGACCTGACAGCGCTTTGTGAATCCGAACTCTCTGGCATTCCCCCTTCTCCATGGAGGCTCGTTTGACCCATACATCCGTCGCTTCAATTCGATACCGTACAAGAGAAAGGTACAAATCATTTCCAGCATGCTGTCCTACCCTCTCCGAACGGGCGCGTCCCGTGCCCATCAGCAGTGGGACCTACGGCCATGATGACGACAGCATTCAGCATCCACCTGCTCTCCTATACGACCCTATACGAGAATATCACTTTAGGATGGTGGATATATGGGTCCTCATGCTACGACGGTATGATAGGAATTATTTTGTCTGTGGATATGGAGGATACGTGCGAATCTCTCCGAGTCTCCCTAGATCCAATGGAGTCTCTGCGGTTATACGCAACCACGAGCACCTGCTCTTTCGAGATCGGAGCTAGCTTGGTGAAAAGGTGCTGGTGAGATGGGTCCAGGAACACCCAATTATCTGGGACTAGGATCTCGGGCTGCGAGATCCGGCGTCCGCGGTAGGAAGTACGAGGTCCCATCAATGACCTTCATGATGAAGAAAGTAAGTAACATTTACTCTCTTCAACTCAGAGGCGCCTCACCCTCGATCGCCATCCTCGCAGAGCGTATTCTGTTTTCGTGGGCGTGCGTCAACTCTTGACCCTCTCCTCCTGTCCAGCCGGGAGTTGAACTTCTCGATCCCAACCTCCAGACCCCGTCCCAAGTATGAAAGGAACTGATCGAGAGTCCGTCCTGGACCGGGTAGGTCGGACACTGTGGAGTCGCTGGCGGTGTGTACGGAAAGTCTTGAGTCCGCTCGAAGGATAGGGATAAGGGCTTCGGGCAGTCTAAGCTCGTACACGCTTGACTCGTATGCTGACGGGAATGTCGTGCCCGCCATACGTCGCCCCACGTATCGCACTGGTACTGACAGGGAGGCCGAAGAGGCGGGGCGGGGGTGGCTCAATAGATAGTGAGTGTTTATCTATACTGATGGGCTTAGACTCACGTGTGACGATAGTCAATCCAGCGTCCAGTGGCCCTGATCTGGGACCGGACACATGCCTTCGCTGGCTATTTATACAAAGTATCTTTCCCACTATCAACTGGTCACTGGGTGATGCTGGTTGCTCGAAGCTTGATTCCGAAATGCAACCGACGGCTAGACCGTGTTATTCCAGGATGCAATTGTGGTAATGCAGCCGGAGTCGGACGCGACCCTATGCACGTGTCATCACGGATATCACCTCCGTATGTATTCTTGAATTTCTTGTGCGCTATTCGGACTGCAGGTGAATCCTCAGCTGATGTAACACCTCCTTTCGCCCACACGCTGAAGGCTAACCTTGGCTTGTCATTGTACGCATCTGTCATTGGTCAATCTTCGACGCAGCAGTAATGAAGTGGTATCCGATCACTGTCCGAAGCCCACGAATAGCCACAGACATAAGCGTAAGTGCCTGATTCTGGCGAAGTTCTACATCCTGAAGGGCTTTCTTCGTTGTGCGGCGTTACAAGTCTAGTACTAGGGTGTAAGGGTTGGAGATACAGTTTAAACCACTTCTCGACTCACACCAACAACGTGTACGAGTGGCTGGTCCGAGATAATGCGTAAGGTGAAGACAAACAAGAACGACCCTATCATACAACAATGTCCAACGTTCGTATCTATTTTACATAATAACTTTGAAACTAGTACACAGTTATGCTTCGGTCTCCACGGTGGCTGCGAAGGTGAATGTGAGCATACATATGTATGGCGAGCAATGGATGAACGACTCACGTTCGCGGTCCTTGTTCCCGGTGATTGTGTTCTTGATACTCTTTGCTCGCTTCTTGATACCTTCCTTCGACCACAGCGCCGTCCTCGCGGGTTTGAACTGCATCACGCCCCGGTGGCGCATCGCAAGCTGGTGCTTCCTCTCCTCCTCTATACCCTGCTTCACCTTCCGGTCGTCTTCCCCATTCTCTTTCACTTGCGCGGTGCGTTCCGCAATTCTCTCCTGCCCTTCCACGCGATCATACGCTTCGTACCGATGCTGCTCCTCGCGGCTCGTCTGGAGAGGCTCATGGTCAGGGTCCAATCCCGAGTCGAGGACAAGAGCGCAAGTGAGATATCCGACGATGTCATACTTGTGCGTCTTTGCAGTTTGTTCGTTGACTACAAAACACAAGTGGTGGCGAGTCAGGCACGAAGAATGGGGCAAATGAAAGGGGCGTACTGTAGTTTTGTCTGACTTGAGCCAGTTTATCGCTTCGCAGAACCGGGAGACGCAAGGTGACTTCCTCATCATCCGGCACGTCTTTCAACCACGCAACCGCAACATAGTCGCAATCCTGCCCAATGGGCCCAACACCGCCAGACCCGATCTCAAACAGCACCGCGCTCGAATACCGGTTATATACCGGCAGCCGGATCTTGTCCACAGGCAGGTCCCAATGCACATTATTGTCCGTCACAGTCGCAGACGACGACGGCGCTTTGTACGAATCCTCCGACGTCGACATCGTGAGCTTCTTCGTCTTGAAGCCCTCCCGCAGCTCCTCGTTCGACTCGATGGAGATACTCCCCAGGATCTCCACCGTGCCCGTGTCCCACCCGAGCATCTCCCTTGGCAGCGGCGTCTTCACCTGGCGGAACAAGAACGAGATATTCGCGCGCCCATACCCGATCCCCTCCTGGAGCGAGAACAGCCGCGTCACCTCAGAGCTATTCTGGAACAGCTCCGCCAGTTTCACGGTCACGATCCCCAGCACCGGATCCTTTTCCCTCACCCGCGCGTCCCTTACCTGCACGCGCACAATCGTCTCCCTCCAGTCCCGGACGAACCGCTCCGTTCCCGCCTCAAAGTACGGCATGCTAGTGTACTGCTTCACCCGCGTCTTGTAGATCAAATCGTCGTTGACGATAATCTCGCAGTACCCATTCGGCAAATTCTCTCCCTCCTCCGCCGCTTCCTCCGTATCCTGGCCGCCCTGACCCTCGCGAGACCCAGTGTTCCCCTTGATATCCTGCCGCTCGAGGTTATTAATTTGGTGAATAATCACGCTCAGAATCCCGCTTGGAATGTTGGGATCCGGCGGGGTCCTGAGGGCATCCGCCTCCTCCTGTGTATCAGCCACCGTCGGCGTCTCCTGCGCCTGCTTCTTGTCCTTCACGACGTCCGGAACGTTCGGCTGCGGGTCCGCCTTCTTGAGCGCCTTATTCAGCGGCGCCTTGTCGAAGTACCCGACCTCCCAGTGCAGCGTCCCTGGCATGTCATTCGCGTCTTCGAAGCCCTGCAGCTTGTCCACGCGTGAATGCATCGTGCCCGGGTTCTTCATCAACTCGATGAGCGGGACGTTCACCCGCCCGACCAAGTCGTCGGCAGTTCGCTTGTCTGAGTCCCACAGCGTCGCGGACACGCTCTCCTCGGCCTTGACCTCGTCGTCCGTGACGAGCAGGAAGGCCGTCTCTTCCCAGACGGGGTTGAGGTCGCCAAGGATGATGCGCGTACTATAGAGTGGTTTGCCGAACTTTGCGTAAGCCAGGACAATGTATGGGTCCGATAACCCATTCGAGTCTTGCGCAGAAATATCCTCCGCGTGGTGGATGGTGACGACAAGTACACCGAGCGCCTTGGTATCCTTCTTGATTCCGTCACCAGCAAGCATCTGGGCCAAATTGAGCGTGAGGGACTTCGGCGCTACAAATTGTGCGCACTGCAGATAGACATCAACATCTTCTCATGTTAACGGTACGTTAACCCGAACCACTCACAGCAGCAGCGATACCCATCTCCACAAATTGCTTAATCAACGGCAAATCCAGCACATTCGGCAGCTTCTTCGTAAACGGCTCAACGCTAACCTCTACCTTTGGCACGCCCATCAACGTCACCGTCAAATTCCTCACGAAAGGTGGGTTCTGAACAAACTGCATGCGCAGCCGCGCCGTCGCCACGAAACCCTCCACAATCGCGTAGATCGGTATCGGGATGCGGAACCAGTCCCATGCGCTCAGAAAGAACTCCAGACAGAGGTGGATGTTGTGGAAGCGCAGCCGGCGCGACTGTCCGGGTAGCGCCTGGTACGAGATGGACACCTCGTAGTTAAGGTAGTCGCCCGTCTGGTCCGTGTCCACCTCGTCCTTGGCGGGGTCGCCCGTCTGCTTCCCTTTCTCTGCCTCCTCAGCCCGGATCTTGCTTTGCGTGTCCTTGTCGAGCCCGACCCACTCCTCGCGCGGATAGTCCGGGTGCCCCGGCTGGTCTGGCAACGCACGCATCGACACGATCCGCAGCGGATTCGTGCCCTGCCCGACGTCCGTCAGGCGCACCGCGTCAACAAAGCTAGGTAGGGACGCTTGCAGGATATCCTCAACCATGTCACAGATCGGGATGAACATGTCGGGGTTGACGAGCCCCCACACGAGCTTGAGCACCGCGTTCAGCCACTCGACGCTCTCCGGCGTCGGCGGCGAGTACGTCTCGCCGCGGTCCTTGTGCATCTTCATCCGGATCCGCTCGAGCTCCTTCTCAATCTTGCGCCCCGCGTTCTCAGCGCCGACCCATGCGACGAACGCGGTACTTGCGAGGAGAGTACTCCGCACGGAAAAGGCCTTCCAGGAGACGCCGTGGCCGAGGCAGGTGAAGAAGAATGCAACAGCACAGAGGGCCGTTACGACAAGTGCGCCGGTACGCAGGATACTCTTGGCGTGCGAGAGGTCGACCGGGTCGACTGGCGGCGGGAATGGCTGCAGGCAGATGTTGCCCACCTGCGCTGGGGCAGGCGCGGGATAACGCGGGTCTTGTTTGGCCGGGTCAGTGGGCTTCTTCAGAGCCGGGCCAGCTTTGTCGCTGGATGGGTCCAGCCCGGCGTTGTCGAAGCCCTGCTGGCGGAAGTCTGTGTGAGAGTGTCAATTATTGTATTAATGTCGTTGGAGACGAGTAAAACGTGTACCATCGAACTTGGGGTCCTTGACTAACACGTCCACGCCTGTGACCGGGTCCTTCGCCCACCGATCTCCCTTCTGCTTACCTAGGTCCGCAGGTTTCGCGTCCTTTGGTGGCTGGAGGCGCTCCATCATCTCCTTCTTCTCGTCTGCGCCGCTCTTCTTCTGAGGCGGCGGCGCGGCGGCGCCATCTGAGACTGCCGGCGTAGGCGGTAAGGACTTGTCGACTTCAACATGGTCGGCGTTCTGAGAGCGCGCGAGCTGGTCTTGTTCGGCTGCTCGCATGTGAGTCTTACTTCACTTCACAAAGGAAACAAAGCCTAGGGTACGTACCTTGGTATCCCTGAATCGTGGGCACTGGGTTTCTCCCCGAATATCCCTCGCCGTACTGGTGACTTGTCGTCGCCATCGCGCTCCGTCGTCGTGGTCGTCGTGGTTGGTGAACAAGAATGTGGGGGCGCTCGCTCCCGCAGGCCCCGTCATTTCTAGTCCGTCTGTAAGGGCTACGTCAGTCGTTCCTGACGATGTCGGGCTCAGCGCACGCGATGCCAAAAGTGGAGAGCGAGCAGCCTGTTTGACAGCTGTGACGACGAGCACGATCGGACCTCGTTCATTCGGAGCCGTGTCCAGGCCGTTGCCAGCTTTGCATCCGGGCTGCAATTTCTTGAAAATATAACATATCTCGATCCAATGCAAGGGAGAAAGCGTATGTTTTCTTGGGGGCGTATGTCGCGTGAACGGGGAGGGGGAGGAAATTGCCGACGTTAATCTTGGACAATTTCCCCGCGACTTCTACTGATCCGGGATGACATCATATCTGAATCTTAATTAACTGCCACATAATCCAATTACCGGTTTGAGGAACATATATGCAGCCACCGTCTACAAGAGCGCACAAGGATTCTCGAAGATGTTCAGTAGGGAATTCCTCTTCAAAGACCAAGGAAAATACATGGTATTTCCCCAGCTAGACTCAGTTGTCTAATTTAAATCCCACTTAGTCCTCTCCACCACCACATTCCCGTCTCTCCATCACTGTGCAATACGCGGGGACACATGGCGGGGAACACATTCACATTAGCCCAGGAATCGATATCCTTTAAGCATAGACTGCCCGAACGGCTCATCCCTCTCCTCCGAGAAGACTCGAGACTTTCGCCACACACCGCCAGCCCCTCGGCCGCTTTGTCTCGTATTTGGACCGGAGGGTGGAGGATCGGATCGACGGGGTCTGTGCCCGGCTGGACAGGAGAAGAGCATTCAGAGCGCGTACGCGCTCCCGGAGGCAGAACTCACTGCGGGTCGAGGAGGGTCGAAAATGGGACTCTTCGAAGCAAATATAACGAAACCTACCTACTCTCTTCGCTACAGGTTGGTGGCAAGGGCGCGTAATTCGTTACCATGGCCTCCCAATTCTAGAGTTCACTGATTCAAGCCCCACCTAATTCGGCGTTCCTGGACCCATCTCACCAGCACCTTTTCACCAAGCTGGCTCCAATTTTGTGCTCGTGGTCGCGTACAACCGCAGAGACTACATTGGGTGTAGGCCCTACTGATATTAGGCAAGGGACACGTGCCTGCATGGCGATATCTGTGATCTTCTCGGTCTAGTGGATAGACATAGCGGAGAGGGTGGGGTAGCATTTGAACAACAATGAATACGGCGAGTGACTGCACTGTACTATACCTTTCTGTTTGACATCAGCAATGCCAATCCGAACATTGAATTTGAGGGCCGGATATACGGGTCGGATGTGCCTCGGTAGCGCAATCAACAGTCGGTCACGGAAGTAACCTTGGGACGGGAGGAGGTGACGTACTGCAATCAACTTTATCACAGCCCATACGTGTCGGTGAAGAGCCGAACCCATGGATTATGACAGAGTCGACTGTACTTGCCACACTCGCACCGTTAAAAATTACATCACTAGGGCTTACTTCCTTACCTGTCAGTAGAGGGCCATTGCTATGCATGGCAGGACACGAGTCCTGAGTTGTGTCTGATAAGTGATAGCATTGGGTGTATAAATGTTCCAATTGATGTATACAGTACTCTTTCTTATGCACATATCAAGAGCCCTTAGATCTGTATGTGTGATGTCCCCTTTGTTCATACTTTGTCCTCCTGTGGCCCTGCCATCATTCTACCATAAAAGTCCCTGCCTCTCTGACAGATTGAAAGTTGGTCTGTATTGGTGGCTACAAAATTGTATTTGTACCCAGCCCAGGGGATAGTGACAGCTGCACTACTAGACACAAGTAACATAGATCAAAGTGCTCCTCTGCTGCCAATCAAAGATTGGTGGCTCTGTCACACAGGTCATTTGTCCCCAGTGGAAGAGACAGTCAATAATACCTGCAGACTCCAGGTACCATCCTACCAGAACCAGAGTGCTCATCCACTGCCAATCTTCGATTGGCAGCTCCCTCGCACTCATTTTTCCTGAACCAAGCTGAAGGACAGTCATCAGAAATGGGGGTCGGCAACTCCTGCCAGCCGAATGTCCGCGTGACCGTGATTGTCACACTCGCGTCTCGCAATCCGGCCTCGCTACTCATCTCGGGTTGTGTGGCATATTCCTTCGTGGTAGTGAGCTCTACTACAATGAGATAGATTGGTTGTCTCAGATACAGGGCTATATGGATAATATCTACAATAAGAAGCACTATTATAGTCTATATAGTGCTCTATATTAGTAATAAAGCAGTATTTTTGAGAGCCCTCAGACTCAGGCATTACAGCAGCTGGCTGGTAAAGAATTAAAAGGGTAGCCTTCAGAGAATCTCTCGACAGCCTCCAATAGTGCAGTAATCTTTGCAGATCCTATCTTCCGGAATTGAGTCTTGTGTCCTCGAGAACGCCCTATCCGGGGCCTATCCATGACGAGGAAGCTCAGCAGATCAATCAAGCAGCCCAGAATAGCTGCGAGACCAGCCAGAAGTGATGCATCACCGTAAAAACACGTCCCGACGCGTAGCGACGCGCTCATTCAACGCGTCTCGGCACTTGCCGAGCAGGCTCATTGGGCTGCACGTCGTTGTGGTGCAAACTGTGGATTCCACACAGCACCACAATTCCCAGAAAAATCATATAATATTCATTTATGAACAAAAAATCACATCCTTCCCTTCCTTTTTTCCGATTTGTACTTCATGTGTGTGTTTCTGTGCTAAATAGCCCCCATAATTGACCGGTTTTCTACCTTCAAGGCCAAAATCGCAAAATTGGACGGGAAGAATAGATTCTTCTGTTAAAATAATATAATATATTCGACCTTTGCGTAGACGTGCACGTCTGTGAACGAACAGACAAGTAAACCCACTTAGCACGTCTAACGAACAAGTGCAAAGATCTCGCATTACCTGTGAACGAACAGACAAGTAAACTACAGGTAATGGTAAGTCCATGAACGAACGGGTTCGTGAATACAAACTCACCCCACTTAGCACGTCTAACGAACAAGTGCAAAGATGGGGGTGTATCTACGGGGGCGTTGTACTTAAGGTCCTCGAGCTCGCAAGGTACAGTACAACAATCTAGATACGTCAAAAGGCTATCACAACGCTATATGAGCTGTCAGAGTGATAAAGAGTTACGATAAGAGAACGAAAGATAAACATAACCCAAAAAGGAAAGAATGTCGCTAAATTTGGAATCCGTGCAGTTTGCCACAGCCTGAGAAACAGAGCGGTGTCACCTCTCTGATTCCCACAGTCGCTCCAACACTCCCCCTCAAACTGTGCGGAGTCCGAGCTCAACAGCGAAATGCTTGACCTTCGGCGAAGGAAGAGCCTTGGTAAGGGTATCGGCCACCATGTCGGCAGTAGGGCAGTAGACTAGACGAAGCTTCCCATCTTCAACGACCCAGCGTATAAAGTGGAAACGAATGTCGATGTGCTTCGAGCGAGCATGGTACTGATGATTCTCCGTGAGCGCAATAGCCGATTGGTTGTCCGAGTAGAGTGTTGTAGCCTCCCCAATAGGCGTGAGCAATTCCCCAATGAGGGATCGAAGCCAGAGAGCTTCTTTTGCAGCGTGGGCAGCGGCCACGTACTCGCTTTCAGTCGTCGACAGCGAGATAATTTCTTGTCGTTTCGAGCTCCAAGACACAGCACCGCCGTCAATAAGGAATGCATAGCCTGATACCGCATGTCGATCCTCAGCCATACTACCATCAGCGTCAGCATAACCAACCAACTCTCTGCGAACACCTCCATAACACAGCCATAGATCCCTCGTCCCCTTCAGATACCGGAAGATGCGTTTGACAGCGTCCCAGTGAGGCAGACCAGGGTTGACCGAGAAACGAGATAGAGTCGCGACGGCGAAAGCAATGTCGGGGCGCGTACCGAGAGCTGCATACATCAATGAACCGATAGCTTCACGATACGGTACGTCGCGCATAGCTGCAAACTCCTGTGCTGTCGACGGGGCTTGAGCTGACGAAAGACGCAGGTGGGGCTCCATTGGGGTTGAGGCCGGCTTCAACTCTTCGAAGTGATAACGGCGGATGATAGAATCGATATACGAACGCTGCGAGAGGCGAATCGTATGTGTTTCACGATCGCGCTGCACTTCGATACCGAGAAGCCAGTGAAGCTTACCCAGATCAGTAACCTCAACATGCTCCCGCAAACCTGCCTTCAGCGCGACAATCAGCTCAAGAGACGTCGCCGCGATCGTGCAATCGTCAACGTGCACGGCGACTATAACCAAGCCATCAGCAGTCCTCCTCACGAAAACTGCGTGATCCACCTCCGATCGAGCAAAGCCAAGCTTGTCGACAAAGATCCAAGTCAGCTTCTGGTACCATCGGCGCCCGGATTGCTTCAAGCCGTAGATGGTCTTGTGAAGACGCAAGACCTTGCCTTCCGAGTTGGGCACTGGATACCCCGGAGGTTGACGCATATAGAGCACTTCGGAATCAGTCAGCTCTCCATTAAGGTAAGCAGCCTTGATGTCAACTTGGTGCAACTCCCAGTCGTTGCCAGCGGCGAGCGCGAGCACCGTTCTGATAGACGCCAGCTTAGCTACAGGAGCGAATGTGTCGAAGTAATCGACGCCGGGGACTTGGCTGAAGCCCTGAGCCACGAGTCTCGCCTTATGACGCACGACGTTACCGCTCGCGTCTTTCTTTGCGCGAAAGACCCATTTTGATCCAATAACATTGGCGTCTTTTGGCGGCGTCACCAGACTCCAAGTCCCGGCAGTGTTCAAGGCATCAAGCTCCTCGAAAATCGCGTCCTCCCACAAGGTCCAATCCGGACGCTTTCGGGCCTCGCGAAGGTCACGCGGATCCAAAGCTTCAACCTCACTCGTCTCAGCAACTAATGTGTATTCAACTCCCCCTGGCTCATCAGCCTCGTCCGGCACCTCCTCAAGAGTAACGGACGGCTTCGGGGCTTGCAGGCCCACAGGAATGGGCGGATCAGCAGGCCTCGCAGAGGTACTGCCAGCGCCGGAGGTCAAGTCGCGCAAGTACTGCGACGGCTTTCGGTCGCGTTTGGGGCGTTCAACCGGCTCAGGCACGGGCCGCTTCGTACGCGGCTTACGGGCAAATGTGCCAGGCGGTGCTAACTCGGGGACAGGCTCGTTTTCGGAGATGGCAGGTTGCTCGGGCAGCGGCGGCAGTACGTTCTCTTGGGGGTCTTCGGGTTTAGTCTCGGTGAGTGTTTTCTTCGGCTGCGAGGACGTTTCGCTAACAATTTCGAAGTCTTCCTCTTTCTCCCCCTCGAAACGTGCCTCAGAAGCCCAATTGTCGAAAAACACGTTTCGTTCGATGGTCACGGTACGTGTTTTTGGCCAATAGACACGATATCCTTTTGACTCATCCGATATCCCAACCATACGGCCCTCGCGAACTCGCTCAGCGAGTTTCGAGCCCTTCCGCCCATCGTGAACCCAAATACGAGAGCCCCACTCACGCACTCCACGTAAGTTCGGTTTCTTGCCCGTTAACGCTTCGTACGGCGTCATGCCACCTAACGCCTTTGTAGAGGTTCGGTTCTTCAACCACACAGCATGTCGGACTGCCTCCCCCCAGAGGGATTTCGGAAGCCCACTCGCGTGCAACATCGCGCGGACCTTCTCCAGAAGTGTACGGTTCAGGCGTTCGGCAACACCGTTTTGCGCGGGGGTGTCGTGCACGGTAAGCTTTGCTCGGGTACCGGCGCTGCGAAGGTGAGCAGACATTTCATCGCTCCTATACTCGCCGCCCCGATCGGAATGCAGTGACTTTACCGCGGCGTTGTGCTGTGTACGGCACCATGCCTCGAAGTCCTTGTAAGTACTGAAGACTTCATCCTTCGAGCGCAGCAAGTATAAGTGTGTATGCCGAGTAGCGTCGTCCGTGTACGTGACATAGTATCGGCGTCCACCAAGGGTTTGCACAGATGACGGTCCCCAGACATCGGTATGAATTTCATCACCGAATTTCTCTGCCCGCTGACCCTCTCGCACCTTTGGCACAGGCTTGCGTGTTGCCTTAGCCATCACGCATGACTCGCAGAAAAAAGGCTCGCACGATGACGTGTTGAGAGCCAATCCGGTCACGAAACCCTTCTCGACCAGGCGGCGCGCAATATCGGGCGAAATGTGGCCCATACGCCGATGCAGCTCGGCGACCGTTACACGCTCCGTTGCTGCAGCTGCAACCTCGCGTTCCGGCTCTACTGACTCGTGTACAACACGGTATAGGCCTTTGGACGACCGCGGGATCTGGCCAACTATTTCACCGCTATCCTCACGGATCTCGCACCTCCCATCTCCAAACGTGACTGTGTAACCGGCTTCGTCAAGACGCCCAACGGAGATGAGGGTGTACCCGATCTCGGGTGAATATAGGACTTCCGTCAAACGCAGCTTTGACGGGTCAACGCCATTCGGTACGTCCACAACCAAATCTCCTTTACCAACGGCACTGAAATCTTGTTGGTTTGCCGCAGTAAACATCTTCGGTGGGATTTCGACAAATGACTCGAAGTCATCATGGTACGGCGACAGGTGACGTGTTGCACCGGAGTCGTATAGCTCCTTCCGCGGTGCGTTGTTGACGTTCTTCTCGTCGCTAACGTGTGCGTTCGTCTCGACAGGGTCTTCCAATACGGCCTCAATAACCGCCAGGACATCGGCCTCTGCCAAGCCTTCGAGTTCGGCGCCGATCGCATCAACAGCATCTGGTGACAACACAAATGCATCACCCTCGTCGCCACTCGACGCGCAGCGGTCCCAAGACCCATCAGACCCATCCCCGTCTTCATATAAATCAAAGAACGGGTCCTCGCCTTCATTGTCACCCGCGTCTGACTGCTCGTCGCTATCGCAGATGCTCATCAAGTCCGGGATCTCGTCGCCCTCGCTATCAACATCATGAATAGGCTCTGGCGGCGGCAGTGACTCAGCGTCACTATCGACATCGCATTCCAGCACGCTGTAGACGCCCTCGCCTTCTGACTCGGATTCCGCCGCGTTGGCGGTACCACTAGCCTTTGGCTTTGGCTTCGACTTGTCGTCTTTGCCATCCTTCTTCTTGGCCGGCTTTGGACACGCGCTACGGATGTGCCCGGTCTCTCCACAGTTCCAGCAAATAGGTCCTCGACGTTTTGACTCCCCCTTCTTCTGCTGGACTGCTAAGGCTTCGTCATCTTTTGCCTTCGTGGATCCGGCACGCTCTGAAGAGTTGGCACGCTGCCGATCATACTCTTCCGAAATCTGCTGCATCAAGATATCGGGGTCGACTTCGGGAGCAGCAGGGGCAGGAACACCGGGAATAACGGGCATGGTACGTGCCTGCATCTTCGCCATCATCTCAGCTGACGACAGCATGCTCGAGGCAAATCTGGCGAGGTAATCTGGCAAGCACGACACTATAGTCGACCTCATGTCCTTGTCGTCGATCTCGACGCCAAGCGACATCAACTCCTCACGCTTCGTGGCAAGCCCATCGAGGAAGTTTCGGATGTTTGCCTTTGGTGGACACTTGCTCGCGAGGAAGCGCTTTCGAAGGTCGGTCTGTGCAAACATGCCCTTCGAGGTGAAGTCCAGCTGAATTGCCGCCCAGCGCTCCGCTACGGTCCCATACCGGCGGATCTTCATCAACGCAGAGTCAGGGAGCTTCTGCGATAGAAGGTAACGTGCCGTAGCCTCATCATCGTCCCACTTCTGAGCCTTCTCTTTCTCATCATCCGTCGGCGTAGTACCAGCAGGCTGAGGACGAGTAACGGACCCAGAGAAGTGACCCCAGAGCTTCTTTGAGGCCACAGCCTCTTGGAAACGCTCAGCGAATATCGGCCAGTTGACGCCGCTAGGATCAAGCTTAGGCACAGACGAAGGGAGGGTGTCGGTAGACTGAGTAGTCGCCATCGTAGATAGGGGCTATGTGGACAGCGAGAGCAATAGAGCAGGGAAAGCTTGGGCTCAATAACCTGTTAAAATAATATAATATATTCGACCTTTGCGTAGACGTGCACGTCTGTGAACGAACAGACAAGTAAACCCACTTAGCACGTCTAACGAACAAGTGCAAAGATCTCGCATTACCTGTGAACGAACAGACAAGTAAACTACAGGTAATGGTAAGTCCATGAACGAACGGGTTCGTGAATACAAACTCACCCCACTTAGCACGTCTAACGAACAAGTGCAAAGATGGGGGTGTATCTACGGGGGCGTTGTACTTAAGGTCCTCGAGCTCGCAAGGTACAGTACAACAATCTAGATACGTCAAAAGGCTATCACAACGCTATATGAGCTGTCAGAGTGATAAAGAGTTACGATAAGAGAACGAAAGATAAACATAACCCAAAAAGGAAAGAATGTCGCTAAATTTGGAATCCGTGCAGTTTGCCACAGCCTGAGAAACAGAGCGGTGTCACCTCTCTGATTCCCACAGTCGCTCCAACATCTTCGCTATACAAAAGAATATCTACAATTTTTTCCCGATTTTACAGTAGCTACTGAGCCCAAAGTTTGCACCGCACGGTGCAAAGGTTTCCTGGCTGGTGTGGCTGAAGCGTGACGCGCCGGTCGGAGTTTAAATTTGGCAGGAGTTGCCGACCCCCATCAGAAAGGATACTCAAAGAGTACCCCAAGCAGCTGGGAGCAGAAACAAAATATATATCACACATGTACTAGTTTCAGTTTCTCAAGGGGACATATAGAGACCACTGAGCAGAAGAAATCAGGGTTCCAGAGGCAGCAGAGATTGAAACACACAGGCCCAAGATGCCTGCCACCAAAGAGACTTGTATCATAGTCTCTGCCACCCACACGTCGACTCAGACTATGTGTGTGAAAAACAATCAATGTTGAGACTAATTCCCACAGTAACAATCCATCAAACTATTCAGCAGTCAGCATATTATTTCAGAACACAAGTGCAATATCCAAGAACCTCTTATAGCCAACATAAGATCAATGTGTATGTACCAGTAATGATTGGATTGAAAGGAAGCACAGCCCACCAAGTTGACATGCTTCAACTGCTGCATGTCCTAGACTAATGAGCAAGTGGGCAACTATGACATCTCTCAACTACAGAAATGCGCTTTCTGCAGTCAAGCTATGTCATAGTAAGCAGGAGCCAATGAGAAGCCAGAGATCCCAACCGGCGCAGCACCTCAGCCACCGACTACAAACCGCCACAAAAGTCAATTCCCACGGTAAGAACATGCCACAGACGACAACGAGCATGCAGTAAAAGACAGAGGTACGATAAAATGCTCAAAATATTCCAGTGGATGGACAACCCAAAAAAACCTCTTCATAGAAGAAACCACCCAAATACACCCAAATCCCAGGACAGTATTATTGAAAACAGAGACTACAAATCCGATTTTGTAGTCTTTTTGTAGTCTCCAATACAAGCGGACTTTAAAGCGGACATTAAACAGTGTAGTCAAGACTACTAGCATTGGGGGGGTTCTGTAAAAGTCAGATTTTTTACAGAACTCCGAAATCTCGAGAAGTATGCTACAGGGAGCTTAGCGGGTTGGTACATATATGCATTGTATACCATACAGATGGTCTGTGAAGTCACAATTGCCTCAAGTTGGCCCCTTGTCGTATGGGAGGTTGAACACCGTCCAACATGCCCACTGTAACAGGTCTGATGGCCACTTGATGGGTAGATCTGCCAGCCTACACGGCCCCGGCATATATCGGCTTGCCTAGAGAAGGTATTTATTGTATGTGTCAAGCTCCTGCGCCCACCCGGTAATAGCTGCAGGCTTGTGAAGTGCTCGTATGGTAGATTTTACAGAACTCCAAGGGCCCAAGGGCGTGACAGATGCGTGACAGACGCGTGCGGATCAGATAGTGTTACCCGCGCGTGACGTTTTGACATTACTCCCCGCAAGTGCCGTCTGTCTGCGGCATCTCTCTGTATTACTCTGTACATAGTGAATCAAGATCATTCTTCTTGCAGATGGTACTTAGGAAGGTATACTATAATGCCTGAGTAAAATAACAGGGAATGATGAAGAAGGTAGCCCTTGGCCGGTCATATTGTCAAGTTTTTACAGAACCCCCCCAATGATAGTACAACCAAAAGGTCACACACATTCTCGGCACCCAGTGATTCCCACGGGGTACAATGTTCGGCACGCACCCAATTTTGCGGGTAAGGACTCATCCTTCGTAAACTCAGGACTGGTAATGATGTCAAACTGCTTTTGTAGCTCCGGATCGTGCTCTCTGTGAGCGTGAGAGGGGTCGAAATTAGACCGGTAGTTTCGACCGCCTAACGGAGGGATTCCAACCGATAAAGGGCTGGAATTGTCCCCCTACCGTACGAAAGCTATCGTGTCAAATTAGGCCACGAAATTGTGAATTCCGACCGGTAGATCACGATGCTAAAATGAGACCGAGAATGAACCAATTTTAATACGTTAGACTATTGAAAACTTGAGCAGATATACATGTGAAGGATGATGCAATTTCTGAGTGATCAAGTTGGGTTATTTCTTTCGCTATTTGACCGCATTTCCGTACGTTACTCGCTACACAAACACACCATGTTTCGGTCGAAAACAAACTTTATAAATCAAAATAACACGCTATACAATCAGTACTATCGGAGAGATATGTTACAGTAGGAGACAATGAAGTAAAGAATAGGTTTGAATATAAGTAGCCAAGGGTGCAAGTAAAACTAACGAGGAGTCATAATGAAATAAGAGGAGGGGAACAGGATGATATCAAGGGTGGG